AAATGATCTCAAAATGTAAATTATTGCTCGCGTATATTTTAACATACGATATCGGTATGATACTCGTATCATACGCATATCATTATCAATTGAATACCGAAATGCGCGTATCATCTACGAACGCGTGTATCATAAGAATACGCATATCATATATGAACGCGCGTATGATATGAATACGCGTATCTTAACTATCTTATGAATATATACGCATTACAAACAAATATTAGCGCGCTATAAAACACGATATATATACGCGCGTATCATAATTCGCGTATTAATTCCAATACATGCAGGTCGTATTACTGTACATACGCGCACAAACACTTTAATAAAGCGAAGTTCATAGCGAACACTATACAGTAAAACTCAAATTAAAATATAATGTGCATCTCTTATTATTCATAAGGCTTACCTGACTGGAAATGATTCGTTTTACTATCTGATTTTATTTCTACCTCGACGCATATAAATTAATCCTTTAGCTTTACGACGGCTTTCATTTCGAAATGCGCACAACCGTACTGTGGGTTCCCAATAGCATGTTGTTGATGAGCCAAACACAAATATCAGATATTCCATCGTTCTGGAGCAGTAGCCAATTTCATGCCACCGTAGCAAACTATAGCATTTGCCCCATTCCAATTGGTTTGCTACGTTTGACCGTAGCAAACCAATCAGAATGCCCTATATGCCAATTTTCGCTACGGTCAGATTCGACCTTAATGAATCTGACCGTAGCGAAAATTGATCATATATGGGCAACACGCTACGGTGTATTTCTGAAGGATGATATTTTCTAAGCTATAGTCCATTGCGTAATGACCCGCAAACGGGCAATTACAACCGTATTTTCGGGCGGGAATTCTTAAAACAATTAACGTTACGTATTATACACGTCATCAATTTGTCAAAATAAAATGTTTTAGAACATATAAAACTAAATAAAATAAAACCTTGAAATATAAACAAGGAAAGTAAACAAAATATTGCTAAATTATATTTTAGATTGATTTTATGATCCATGTTAGAACTGGTCTATGGAAAATCTGACCGTAGCATATGCTACAGTTGCAACGGTCTAAATCCGCCCCTGCTAGGTCCCCTCTCCTATGGCGGTCATTGCGGCTCAATGTGTTCAATGGAACATAAAGATATTCAGGCATGTAGAGGTATTCCTTTTCAGGGCGGGTTGCATGCGGATAAGATGGTCCGTCGCGTGCGCAAAATAGTTAGGTAGATAGACAGTTTAGAAGCGCAATGAACACCGTGCGGAAACGTAAAAATAAAATGGCTTAACAAAATTGCGAAAAAACGAAAAATGAGCGCAATAGGGCGTGCGCATGCACAAAGTTTTCTCACAGGATGTCCTGGTTTTAACATAAATAATAAAAAGAGTGTCCGTGGTCGGGGCTGAATAGTACTGTGGAAGATTGGGTTGGAAAATTTACAATTAAGATCTGTATTTTTGGACAATTATTACTCTAACTTTGAAAAATAGTATCCTACTGATGTAAAATAACATCTAAAGGGTTTGGCAACAATGATGTCCAAAGAGGATGTTAGCCCTATAATATTTCATAAAATGATTTATCTGTGAAAATACTGAATTACAAGACAGTTAAAAAAAAAAATTCGAGTAAAGTTTGATAATAATTGAATTGATAAGGCCATTTGCACTCAAGAAAATTTGGGGCTAATATTAGACTTAATGCATTAACGTCTTTGTTGCCAGGAGTTGTGTAACTTTCATGAAAAAATCAAAGTCTTGAGGTTTTGTTTTACTTATATAACTAACATGTTTTTTTGGTTTTCAACAAAGTAATAATGGTCTAGAAGTACAGATTTATATTGCACGTGTTAGTAAGTTTCTTCTGTAACTGCACAATTATTGCAAAATTGTGCGCTTATCACACGATTAAAATTAGTAAGGTCAGTGAACATTGGCACAACTGCTTGTTCCCATGCATAAATTTTTAATCAAAATCATCTCAAATTTGAATAAATCCAATCCCAAAAATTAGTTAAAAATTTATGCATAGGAACAAGCAGTTGTGTGTGTGCCAATGTTCACAGACAATTCACAGTACTATTTGGTTTGTGGGTTCAAATCCCAACACACTTAATTTTTTATTTATATAAAAAAATGGATGCGATGGATCCAAAGGATGTGCGATGGATAAATAGATCTTTTTTTAAAAGAATCCAATGGATGCGATGGATCCAAAGGATGCGATGGATCCAATGGATGCGATGGATGTGATGGATCCAATGGATGCGATGGATAAATAGATCCTTTTTTTTAAAAGGATCCAATGGATGCGATGGATCCAAAGGATCCGATGGATCCAAAGGATGTGATGGATCCAATGGATGCGATGGATCCAAAGGATGCGATGGATAAATAGATCCTTTTTTTAAAAGGATCCAATGGATGCGATGGATCCAATGGATGCGATGGATCCAATGGATGCGATGGATCCAAAGGATGCGATGGATAAATAGATCCTTTTTTTAAAAGGATCCAATGGATGCGATGGATCCAAAGGATCCGATGGATTCAAAGGACGCGATGGATAAATAGATCCTTTTTTTAATAGGATCCAATGGATGCGATGGATAAATAGATCCTTTTTTTAAAAGGATCCAATGGATGCGATGGATCCAAAGGATCCGAAGGCTCCGATGGATAAATAGTTCCTTTTTTAAAAGGATCCGATGGATCCAAAGGATGCGATCGATAAATAGATCCTGTTTTAAAAGGATCCAATGGATGCGATGGATCCAAAGGATCCGATGGATAAATAGATCCTGTTTTAAAAGGATCCAATGGATGCGATGGATTCAAAGGACGCGATGGATAAATAGATCCTTTTTTTAAAAGGATCCAATGGATGCGATGGATCCAAAGGATCCGAAGGATCCGATGGATAAATAGTTCCTTTTTTAAAAGGATCCAATGGATCCAAAGGATGCGATCGATAAATAGATCCTGTTTTAAAAGGATCCAATGGATGCGATGGATCCAAAGGATCCGATGGATAAATAGATCCTTTTTTTAAAAGGATCCAATGGATGCGATGGATCCAATGGATGCGATGGATCCAAAGGATGCGATGGATAAATAGATCCTTTTTTTAAAAGGATCCAATGGATGCGATGGATCCAAAGGATGCGATGGATAAATAGATATTCTATTTATCCATCGCATCCATTGGATCCATCGCATCCATTGGATCCTTTTAAAACAGGATCTATTTATCCATCGCATCCTTTGGATCCATCGCATCCATT